ACTGCAAGAGATACAGTAAATAAGGTTGCTGAAGGTACAAGATGCTGTCTGGGTGATCCGGAATTGTCCTGAGGGGCCTTGAATGAGTGTGGTTTTAGATGTGTACTTGCAGGAGATGCAGTGAGCTCTGTTGCAGGGGAAGGTACCCGGTGTGGATGGTTGTTCTGAAATTCAAAAATGATGCAGGCACATCTTTTTAAACTTGATATTTTATTCAAAGCCTGAATGCTCATGTGACGACTTCTAAATGTAAGACTTCTCAGTAAATGTCCACAAAGCTGGAGAGACGTATGTGGATGGTTGATGGGTTCAGACCTGTGAATGCAGTAGTCCAGCTGGGGACGTCCTCCACATTGCCTGGTGCTCCTGTGTGCAGCTCTTCTTGGTGGATTTGTCCAGCTGTCTCGGGGAGCTGGGGGACAGCAGTGGTCAAGCTCTATACAGGCCATTTTTGTGGACTGACGGGAGATTGTCCTCTCCTGGGCCTTTTTTTCCCCCTTCCCAGCTGAGCTCTGCAGCTCTTCCTGTGGCCACTGGCCTCACTGTCGATCCCTCTCCAATGTCCCCCGATCCTCTTCATCGTGCTCGGAGAGACAATAAGAGTCTTCTCCTGATCTGTGCCTTTATACTGTACGTCTTTATTCCAGATGTTTTGAAAGCTCCTTTGTCTTGATGGTTGAATCGTTGCTTGAAAGTCATTACCTGACCGAGGTGTATTTATTCTGAAATCACGTCAACCACTATCACTGCACGCAGACAGAAGCCACCCATCTAATTGCCTGGCACATTCAGGTAATGTTGTGGACCTAAATTGATGTAGGTTAGTCTTAGCCAAGGAGCTGAAAACTAATGCAATCATGACTTTTCAATTTTTCATGTTCATTATTTACTTTTTTTTCTTTTTTGCTGTTTTTAATGTGTGGAGTGGGTTGTGTATATAACACATATCAATTGCCATTTCAAATTCTCATGACTGCATACTCTAAAGCAGGGGTTCCCAAACTTTTTTGTCAGCTGAACCCCTCAAATACCCCCTTGAGATCTTAACTAAATCAAACTTTTCAATAAATGTAGGTAAATGCTACAGCAACCCTCTTAACAAGCTTCTTTTCATTGATATATAATATTGATATTACTACTGTTGTTTTTCTTATTCTTATTATTACGTTGTTGTTTATTAATAGGATTATTTAATTTGACATCACAGTCTTACGAACCCCCTGCAGTACCGTTGCGAACCCTAGAACGCCAGGCTGGGAACCCCTGCTCTAAAGTAACAAGATGGGAGACTTGGGCGAGGGTCAGAATACTGCTACAGGGCACTTTCAGTTGTTTCTATAAGTAGGTACTTGAAGCTCAGTGTTGCCCATCTGTGTTGGAGTGCCAGCCCTCTCTCTCCCTGTGTGTGGAGGGTCAGGGGAGGACAGCAGGGCGTGGGCGGGGCCTGCTGTCTGCCTGCGTGATGGTCAACACGTTAGCAGAGCTGAGCTTGCTCTTACCTCCCCTTGCTGACATGCAGACTCGGGGTGGGGCTCACAGTTCCACAGTCACACCACAGGGAGAGGAGAGGGGAGGGGAGGGAGAGGAGAGGAGAGGAGAGAGAGCGGAGGGGAGAGAGGGGAGAGGGGAGAGAGAGTAGAGAGAGGAGAGAGGAGAGGGTAGAGGGGAGAGGGGAAAGAGAAGGGAGAGAGAGTGGAGAGGGGAGAGAGGAGAGAAAGGGGAGAGGGAAGA